GTGAGGGGCATAACATTTCTGTCTCACGCTTGAGGTATTCGGCCAATCATAACGCACTGGATAGCTGGCCAATCAGAGCCCACCTCGCTTTTCAGACCAATGAGCTAATTAAATCAACGCATTTCAGAAAGGCGGGGCATAGAGGAGAAACAATAATGTACAGTATGTGGAAAATAATGTGTTTTTTTAACCTTAAACCGCATAAACATTTCATTACATCAAATACACAAAATAATGTTCTTTTTAGCAACATCATATGACCCCTTTAACGTGTTCTGGACCATTACGGAAACACAGCGCTTGGTATAAACAGTTGTTTCAGCATCTGGGTGGAAAAAATTATGGAAAAGATGCACAACTCTGGAGCCTTCATGTAAACATGTGGCATGCTGCATTCATCAAATCAATGACAATGACACTGCAAAAATACAAACAAGAATGTTAACCTGAGAGTTCTCACAATGTACAGTGCGAAACGTCAGCTTATGAACACCCACCCAGGGTTAAGTATGAGCCGTGTGAAACTTGGAACAAGGTAACCCAGAATGATGCAGGGTTAACTATTTCACGTGTGATAAATGCTTATGAAATGTTCCTTTACACGGGGTTAAAAGTGGGGATTAGAATGACTATATCTTGGGTTAATGGCAGTGTGAAAACACTACACAATTGATTGGGCACTTTTGGGCATCAGATGCAGACTTTTTTTTTTTTTTTGGAGAATGATAGATACCTTCAAAATTTTCACATTAACTTCAAGCAATATAACATGATTTTATTATCGTAATTTTGACTTTATTCTTAAAATATAACCTGAGAGTTCTCACAATGTACAGTGCGAAACGTCAGCTTATGAACACCCACCCAGGGTTAAGTATGAGCCGTGTGAAACTTGGAACAAGGTAACCCAGAATGATGCAGGGTTAACTATTTCACGTGTGATAAATGCTTATGAAATGTTCCTTTACACGGGGTTAAAAGTGGGGATTAGAATGACTATATCTTGGGTTAATGGCAGTGTGAAAACACTACACAATTGATTGGGCACTTTTGGGCATCAGATGCAGACTTTTTTTTTTTTTTGGAGAATGATAGATACCTTCAAACTGTCATTTTGTTGTTACAAGTTCACGCGAACGTTTAAAGCGACATTTGTGTGCATTTAACGTTAAATGTGTTAGATTCAGAATTTTTGAGCATCACACTTGCATACAAACGTTGGATACAGGTTTCTTGTAGATATTCCATTGTTCCATTCAAAAATTTAAATATGCGAGTTTAAAATTCGATTCAACATCATGGCTCATTGGAACGTTCGATATATTATTTCGAGCGTTATTTTGGCTACGGAAGGTTCGATTCTCGTGTTTGTTTTAGAACTTGCGTTTGATCGTCTCAATCACGGCATTTTGCCATTATAGACACTTTTCAACGTTTGAGTCAGCATTTACTCATCTTACCACTTATGATTTCAACAAATGCTGTCTATGTAGGCAGCAGTATGTCATCGGTGTTATTTTGCTAAAAAACGACTCGGTGGTGGGTCAGCCGGATACAGGCAATGTTATCTGCCTGTTCATGGTCTGTTGAGGTAATCCAGAACCAGCTAAGAATCCCAGAAAGGTACACAAATGCTATTTCAGCTAGCCGGTTAGCTAGAAAAAAAACACTCACCCATTACTTGAACCCGACAAATAGCGCAAGTGTCACACTCCACATCCCAGCTCCACATGGCTACCGCATTCCACTTCTTGAGGGAGAACATCTTGTCTCCCCCTGATTTAGATCCAGAAGAACCGCTGTGAGTGTGCACTATACCCGGCTCATCACCGTCGTCCATCTCCGCCATGGCGAAGAGGCGCAGAAACAAAATGGCTGAGATAGGCTGGTCTGCAGACGCGCAAATCGGTCTCTCACTGGAGTTGACCGTAAACAGGCCCCTGCCTGGATGTGTTAAATACACTCAGTCAGGAACGTTTTCACACTTTCCCTTAATTTCTCCAAAGTACTATAAAACAACCATACTCATTCTTTCTTTCTTTTGAAACGCATTAAATTATTTAATTTGCATTTGTATGACTTCTTCATTTATGCATTTATTTGATAGGCCTATGTATTTTTATGAGTTTTTTTCACTTTCAGGTTCTGTGATGTACATATCTTTTATTTTTCACCTCTCCGTATTTTATAGGTTTTGCTCACCAATAAATAAATAAATAAATAAAAAGTAGAAATTAGAATTAAAACTAGAATGTATTCACTTGGTTTTACATGCAAGCATTATTATTATTATTTTTTTAAATAAAAATACTGAACGTGGCATGCTACATTTAAGCAATATCACATGTGTAAGAGTGCTGCTGCGAATTTTGACCTGGCTGTGATTGCTTGTGCCAACTGTCAACTTACAGTTGTGCCAAAAGTGCTATAGTGATGGTCACCCCAAATTCTTCTTTTTATTCTTTTCTTTTTTCTTTTTTGCATTATTACACAAAATGTTGATATGGGGTTTGGAAAGTTTTCAAACTCTAAAAGAAAAATCTGTAAATTTGGAGTTACGTGTGCAAATATTTCTGAAATTTGGCTAATAAAATAAAAAGGTCAATTTGTAACCTATGTCAGCTTTTTTATTATATATATTTTAAATAAAATACTGTATGATAATGTATTGCAACGTAAACGGATATTCAGAGTGCTGATATAATTTGCTGGTGATACTGCAAAGTTATGCTACATGAAATCCTAATCATCCTTTCAAAAAGACAATCTACGTCAATTCTTGTGGGAATTGTGGGAAGTCGTGGCCTAATGGTTAGAGAGTCGGACTCGTAACCCAAAGTTTACGATTGTAGGTGGGGGGAGTGAATGTACAGCGCTCTCTCCCACCTTCAATACCACGACTGAGGTGCCCTTGAGCAAGGCACCGAACCCCCAACTGTTCCCCGTGCGCCGCAGCAAAAATGGCTGCCCACTGCTCCGGGTGCGTCTTCACGGTGTGTGTGTGTGTGTGTGTTCACTGCTGTGTGTGTGCACTTTGGATGGGATAAATGCAGAGGGGAGTGAACAGCGCTCTCTCCCACCTTCAATACCACGACTGAGGTGCCCTTGAGCAAGGCACCGAACCCCCAACTGTTCCCCGTGCGCCGCAGCAAAAATGGCTGCCCACTGCTCCGGGTGCGTCTTCACGGTGTGTGTGTGTGTGTGTGTTCACTGCTGTGTGTGTGCACTTTGGATGGGATAAATGCAGTATGGGTCCGAGTATGGGCCACCATACTTGGCCACATGTCACGTCACTTTCTGTTACCATGATTTTGGCTACATTTAGATATTTTGGTCTGGTTAACAATCCTGAAAATTAAAAACCCTTCTAAAGACACAGTTATGTCAACTTATATTAATTATCTTGGCTTGTAGGATCTTGTTTGGTTCCTTTTTATCTATGTTTTCCCTCATACTACATGCATCCATATCATATAGGCCATATGCTGATCCATACCATCATGGAAGTCATGTTCCATCGTTGCACTTTTATTTTCACACTTTGTAAAACACACTGAGCCCTTGTAAAGTAAATGTATCATCATCATTGTATTATTATTATGCCAGCGCCCATGAGGGGGCGACCCGCTCCACGTATAATAATAATAAAAAAAGATTTTTGACCGTCTTTCCCTCATGTGACTGATAGCCTATTTGATATTTTCAAAAAGTACTGTTCATTACTTTGTCGCTTAAAATATTTATCTCAGCTCAGATACAATGTTTCAAATCGTACAATAATTTGCTTTAAAAATCACCTCATCAAACTAGAAAAGGCAGTGTCATTGAACGATTTCTACATTATAGCCGTGACGTCATCATACATTCGATTTGGGTGAACACATTCAATAAGCTTCCTGAACTACGCGCGTGTAGTCCTATGGACCAGACCGAAACCAGAGTTCGCATTTAAAAACAAAACAAAACAAACAAAAAAAACAGACTGAGGAGAATTTCACTTAACTTTGCATGGGCACATCTATTCCAGGGGTGAGCAGCTGTCTCGTGCGCTTCAGTAGCAGTGAGATATTCATGAAGACAGCAGCAAACCAATGTCCACTGATAACACTTCTGTTAAACACACTTCTGTCCATCAACGGATGAACACCGACTTTGAAAAGTATCCTTTACCACGGTATTGCAAGAGGTGAGTGCTGTTTATTTGACATTTTTGATACATACGAAGAAATGTTACAACATTTTAGCATTATTAGCAAAGTTAAGGACATTTTTACCGATTAAGTTTTCATAATTTTCATTGTTTTCATTGTGTATTTATTTGCTTTATTGTAGAATAGAATACTTTGTCATTGCACAACAGCACAATGACATTTAGTGCTTCTTCTCAGTGGTAGCCTACATTCACAAAAAACATACATACAAACAGATATAGACAGAAAAAAACATAAATAACAAAGAAGTATACCCTATTTGTAGCCTATTTGTTTGTTGATAGCTGCACATAGATAAATGACTCAAACTATGGCATGTTACATGTTCCTGAAGTATTGTTCCTAAAAAGTAGTCTTTAATGAAAAAAATATGTAAAGAACTGACATAAAAATAATTCTGTTTTTTGACATATGTCTATTTCAGGACAAACATTATATGCTGGGCCCAGTTCAAGGTGAATTAGGGTAATAACTACCAAACTGGAACAGTTAAAGATGCTGATGTAATTTTTGGATTTACTTTAATATTAGGGCAGACTGGGGCTACAGTAGTTGTCATAGAGAAGTTGTCACGAGGGCTGGATCTTAGTAACTGTAATATTTTGTGTTAAAAGGTCAGTTACACATGTTTTCCCTCTCTCTTTCATCTGTGGTCTTTATGTGGTCTGTATTTCAAGAACCAGTTAGTCTTTCAGCATGTTTTTGTAAATCTATGACAAATTTGAGCCCAGATATTTGACATTCTCCAACATTTAGCCCCTCACATGACGTCTGCTCTAGTCTCTCTTACTTGGATTATTATCACTCAACATACAGAACGTAGTCAAAGTTGTAAGAAGATCTCAGAGTTCTTGAATTTTAAAGGGAAAAGGTTTATATAGATTGAAAAAGACTGACACTGATAACAGTAGTTGTGCCCTTTGGCTACTGGGATGAGAATTTTCTTGAATAACTAAGACAGCATTAGTGTGGGAGGAGGGCTCATTGATCTCTGATTCAGTGCTGTCATTGCTACAGAAACAAACTAATTATTTCAACAAAATTAATCAATTTAAATGCAATCATTCAGGCACATCTTCATCCTTTATTCTTTTTCTGACATCTGTTACCTTGTTTTAAACAACCTTTCAAACTCATTGACTGAGTTTATACCACAGATGTTGCATGTTTAGAAAATTTTTCTAAATTAATATGCATCTTAGATGCAGGTGGAGTGTTTTTTTCTCAGAAATCTGTGAAGATGATGTACAACTAAACATTTAATTTGTCAAAAAAGTTCAGTAGCATGATAATGGACAAGCTGCAGGCTACTCAGAATTAAAAGTAGTTAGTCAAGCTACTAACAAACATATAGCTAACTATGTTGAAGCTGTTTAAAGGGGTCATATGATGCGATTTCAAGTTTTCCTTTCTCTTTGGAGTGTTACAAGCTGATTGTAAATATATTTTAAATATAAAACAATATCTTTTAACATATTGTATAATTTATAATGCAAAGAAAGCATTGTTTCCAAGCCTTATAACATAAGCTTGATGGAAAAATATGCCTTTATCTTCATTTTGGTAAAAAAACAAACAAAACAAAAAAAAACCTTCCTATATACAATTCACTGTATTTTCCCACAAAAATGACCACTAGTGGCAGTAAAAGGGCAACAACTTTTATTCCTGTTTTAATATCATTGTGTGACCTCACAACACTTTTACCACTGTGAATGATTGTAAAACCAGTAAACCAATAAGTTTTGACATTTACACAACTGGTACAGTACTACACTGTCCCGTGAAACATTCATTATGATAAAAGAGCTTAAAGATTCATAGAAACAAGTCAAAATGTCATGGTTGCTTAAGGAAAATTCATTTTTTATCTCACATTTGCTTATGTTACAATGACAGAACAGACATGGACGTGCCCGCGCACAAACATACAAAAGTTGACTAGTTTTTGAAGTACATTTTTAAAGATATTTTAAAACTTTTGCTGTATGGTTTAAAAACAGCTTTTATAAAATTGCAGGTAAGCCGCATAAAGGTCAAGTCGCATAGCTATTACATTCATAATGTAAAATACCGGTAAATAAAGCTAAATGTTTACTAACATTATCAATAAATACAGATAAACAAAGCTAAAAGCTATTTTAGTTCCTCTCACTCCATAACAAATCCTTTAAATTTAACGGTATTCAGAAAAATAATGAAAAATTGTATAAATAGTTAAACATTAACCCAAAACAAATTCATTGCTGCTGAAACTGAAACGGGCTTACATAGCCTACCTCTCTTATGCAGCACGAATCCACTCAAAAATGTTTCCATATTCATGATGTAGGCCTATTTGAATGCTATTATTTATAATGCTTTGAACTTCGTCCAATGCACGTAAATCATCCTTGGTGGGTGAATGCAATGGATTGTATTTCGGACTATTTAAATTGAGTAGTGTAACTTTTTATATGTTTGGTTGGCTTATTTTATTTTGATAATGAACAGCCTGCGATGTCAATATGCTATAGCCTAACTGATGTTGTGTGCACGCGTGAGGCGCCTGCGGTGATCACTTGATTGTTACAGCAGAATCAAAGATAAGAGTGAGTGAGACATCATTATGAAACTATAAAGAATCTACTTTTATTTGTGTACAGTCACAACAACAACAAAACACTGTGCTCTTCAAAACAAAGAAAATAGATGTCGCTTTCTGCCGTATTGATTTCCTTTCAGTGAACTTGTTGCGCATTAGAAAAATGGACAGAAACTTGCCATAGAACTTGTCACAGTTTTTCTTTCATTTTGTTAATCTGTGAATTAAGTCAAATATATTTCGCGAATAAGGCTATTTGTTTATTTTATACATGTGATTTTATTCAGTTTTTCTTCATTCATATAATTGCTTATATTTATGTTATTTCAGCTTTATTTCAATTAACATATATGTTTTTAAAAGTTTTAGTTAACTTTATCCTACCTTAATGGAAAAACATCCATAGAAATACAGTAGCTACACTTTCAATTTTACAGCTGTTTCAAGCCACAAATATTTACAGATATTAATTTAATGCCGGTCTGGGACAAAATTTTAGCCTAGCCGGGAGTCTCATACAGGCCACCATAATTTACATTACTTTTAAGAATAATTAAAAAATGTTGGAAAAATTACGCCAATGTAGAAAAAAGTTTGTGTGTAAATTCACTTTTTTATTGGTTTTATTTTGATAAACATTACACAGTACGCTATAGCAACAATATAACACGAAAAGAGTTTGTAACCCTATTAAAGCACGACATGAAATACAGTGAGTCAAATTTTTTCTTTTGCCCAAGCCCCAGGCCTGAGTGCCACTCACTGTGTCATAAAACATGCAAGAAGCAATGTAATATTATTTTGCAGAAATGTTGAGGTGAGATCTTCTAACGAGTTGCTTATTTCAAACACAGGGTGACATTTCGAACAAGCAAGAAGCAATGTAATATTATTTTGCAGAAATGTTGCACTGTAAAAAAGGATTTGAGACTTTAGCTTCCCCAACTCAATTTCAACACTGTTCACAATTATCACTGTTCTGCAAATTTTCACAAGCATAATCCAGTCATTTCAATAGTAATCCATGGGATCAGGAATTTCAAGTGAGGTCAAAAGACTTCCTCAAGCGGATTTTGCAACAGGTTCAAGTTAGTTGCATGAATCTACCGTGTTGACCAAAGCTGCTTGGCTTGAAAGTGACTTCTGTGTGAGCTGTGCTTCATATTTTTTGACAAAAGACAATGGACCCTTTTCCCCACAAAATTTCGCTGGAATGTCGCTAATGAGACCACATCTATTTAAAACAAGTTTTGTGATTTGATTTTCTCTCTGTTGGAATAGGTGGAGCAACGATGACCTTCAGAGGCATGCATTGGCTAAGAACCGGCGCATGGCTATGCGGAGACCGGCCTACATGTTTAACGCCCGTTACAATAGTCTATCGCCAACAGAAGAACGTTTCCTAGAGGCGGCAGAGTATGGAAATATCCCTGTCATCCGTAGGATGCTAGAAGAACTCCCAGATCTTAATGTCAACTGTGTGGACTACATGGGCCAGAATGCATTGCAGCTTGCGGTTGCCAATGAGCACCTGGAAGTGACGGAACTCTTGCTGAGGAAAGAGAACCTGGCCAGGATTGGTGACGCTCTGCTTTTAGCCATAAGTAAAGGCTACATTCGTATAGTGGAGGCCATTTTGGGCCACCAAGCCTTTGCGGACACATCTAAACTTACTAGCAGCCCCCTCCAGGCAGAGACGCAAGGCGACTTCTTTGCCTATGACGAGGATGGCACTCGGTTTTCCCATGATATTACACCCATTATACTAGCTTCTCATTGCCATGAATACGAGATTGTGCACATTCTGCTAAGAAAGGGCGCCCGCATTGCACGCCCACATGACTACTTTTGCAAATGCAACAGCTGCCTCTATCACCAGAGGCACGACTCTTTTAGCCATTCGCGTTCAAGAATCAATGCCTACAAAGGGTTGGCAAGCCCTGCCTACCTTTCCCTGTCCAGCGAGGACCCGGTACTGGCGGCTTTGGAGCTCAGCAATGAACTGGCTGTACTGGCCAACATAGAAAAAGAGTTCAAGGTGAGCACGATAGTATATAAGAGAAGAAAATTAAGATTCTGTTAGTAAAAATGGAACATGGAAGAATTTCTCATCCCAACTTAATGTTTCAATAGGATATATGTCATTGTCAACACAGTAATGGGGTTTGACCTAGCATTTCATTGGGTAATATCAAGTGATATAGAGTAATAAGAATATTAGGCGGGAAATACATTAGGAAAATGACAAGCAGCCAGACTAATGAGTTTAAGAGTTATGCTTTTTATGTAACTTTTAACTTTTTATGCAGAGTGCATATGGATGTGGGTGTACAGTCATGCTTGGTAGTTGGTGAGTCTGCAGCCTTTGCCATAGAGTGGGTGGCTCAGTTCTTACTTATAATATTATTGATGAGTTGAAGGTTTTGTTTGCTGATTGAGTCTTTAACAGATGGTAAGACTGCTCTCTAGAAAGTAAAAAAACTTGCATAACAACATGCCAGTTACATTCACTTTGCAATTATTAAGGATAATCATGCGGCAAACTCTGGCTGTTACCTAAATAATGCCAAGAAATGTGTTTGTAACACTTTACGATATCTTTCATTAAGCCACTGAAGATAAATGAAAGAGAATGTGAGTGGTGCTTGCCCATGGCAATATCAGTTTGGGGGTTACTGTTGCATGGTAATTTCTAGGGTGATTTGGATGTTTGCTAGGGCATTGGTAGGTGTTCTGCGTGTTAGTAGGTGGTTGATAGAGTGTTCTCGGAGATTGCTTTCTGTCAGGATCCCCATCTCTGTGATAGTCTCTATATAGGGTCCTTGCTGCTTCTTCAACGCTAACCTTCTTCAAAGTCTTTGAAATTTTTTCGCCCATTTTTTAACCCTCCAGGAAAACATTATAGTAAACTTCTTCTTAATAATGATTTGAGGTATAATTCACATCAGTAGCACAAATGTTGTGGGACAGGTTATGTGCCAAAGCTTAGGCTAATTCTTAGGTTTATGAGTTTGTTCAAATCACTAAGCCTAAGTATGAAAAATAGTATGTTTACAACAGATCTATGCTAATTTCCTTTTACAGAACGATTATAAAAAGCTGTCTATGCAATGTAAGGATTTTGTAGTTGGACTTCTGGATCTGTGTCGGAATACAGAGGAGGTGGAAGCCATTTTAAATGGAGACACAGAGGCAGGTGGCCACTTTGACAAGGGCGGCAGACCTAATCTAGTTCGCTTAAAACTGGCCATCAAATATGAGCTGAAAAAGGTAGGTTTCATAATAAACATTAATATTTAACACAGTGATTTCAGTAAGTGATATAATTATTAGGCGTAATTATTCAACTATTGTAGCATTAAAGGCAAGGTTCACCCAAAAATGACAATTATGTCATTAATTACTCTACGAGAATACATTTTGTGTGCAAAAAGAAAACTAAAATAACAACTTTATTCAACAATTCTTCTCTTCCGCGTCACCCTAGGGTAGGGTGACCATAAGGGCGATTTTTACGGGACGCACCCTTGCCAGGATTTCTATATTGCCTAAAATATCCAGGTTTTGTCTGTTTGCACTGTGCAGATCGATTGTTGTATGACATTATTTCACGAGAGCTATAGAGAGCAGAGCACACGGCTCCTTATGCTTTCAAATCGCTCTCGCGGTACTTTGGTGTCATACAACGATCGGTGCTCAGCTTCAAGTCGAACGAACGAACAAACAAACACGTGCGCGTATTTGCATCGCTTTGATCGTTCTCACCTTCTAACGCACGACGCGCCACGATTGGTCGATTATGTACAATACCTGCATGTTATTGGTCAAACTACTTTGGATGTTTTAGGCAATATAAAAATCCTGGCCAGGATGTGTCCCATATAAATGGCACATATGGCTACCCTACCCTAGGGTGCCATTTTAGAGAGTGCCACAATGCATGCGTGCACTCTCCTCTAAATGTTAACAAGGTGCAGCGCATGCGTGTTCCACGTCAGCAGCATCACATGCATGCGTTGTTTACGTGCAGGAAAAGGAAGGTCATACGACATGATACTCTCCAAAATGGCGCCCTAGGGTGACGCGGAGGAGAAGAATTGTTGTATAAAGTTATTTTTGTTTTTTTTTCACACAAAAATTATTCTCGTAGCTTTATACAATTACAGTTGAACCACTGATGTCACATGGACCATTTCAACGATTTCAACTGCCTTGATCGTGGTAGTACCCTTGCTGTCTATGGAGGGTCAGAGAGCTCTCGGATTTCATAAAAAATATCTTAATTGGTGTTCTGAAGATGAACGACGCTCTTGCAGGTTTGGAACAACATGAGGGTAATTAATGACAGAATTTTCATTTTTTGGGTGAACTATCCCTTTAAGTGCTAAAATACAACGGCTTAATGACTGTGCATGATGGCACAGTAATAAAAACATATCTGTTTACTGTATCTCTGCCTGCTCTGATGCTTCCCACACAGTTTGTAGCCCATCCAAACTGCCAACAGCAGCTTTTGTCCATATGGTATGAGAATCTGTCAGGGCTCAGGCAGCAAACCACAGCTGTCAAGTTGCTGGTGGTTCTGGGGGTGGTGGTTGGACTTCCCATCCTGGCCTTACTGTACTGGATAGCACCCTCAAGCAAGGTTAGACTGTAATAACCTGAACCGTTAGTCACTGTGAATTCATCCATGGCACTGAATTTCTTTCCTGCTTATGTGATATTATGAGTAAGAAAATAAAATGATGAACACAATGCTGTTTCTGATTTCTTACTAAAGTTACATTGCTTCAGAACATTCTTTATTTATTTTGTGCAATGTTTTTGATTATAGTTGGGGAAGATCATACATGGACCTTTCTTAAAATTTGTGGCACACGCAGCTTCTTTCACAATCTTTCTTGGCCTTCTCATAATGAATGCTGCCGACCGTTTCGAAGGGACATCTCTCTTACCAAATATGACCATCCATGACCACCCCTCCCAGTTGTTCCGCATGAAGACCACCCCTTTTACCTGGATGGAAATGCTGATTATTTCCTGGGTCGTAGGTCAGACATCATCTCTCACTGTGTTACACAACAACAAATCAAACGTTTATTTTGGATCAGATCATTTACTCACTTGCATGATGTTGCAAACCTGTATGTCTTCTGTTGTCTGATTGATATTTTATACTTTGTTTAGGAAGTCAAAGGCCTTTTAGTGTAATTTGAAAAATTGTCCCCCTTCAGGTTGTGGTACTTTATGAAGTTAACATAAGAGTAGCTTTTATATTGTTAGTAGTATTTTAAGAAGAACACTTACTGGACTGAAGCAACTTTACTTTATTATCTATACATATTTTTCAGAAGAAAAAAAAAAACGTTAAAATGTGAGTAGCAAATATGATACATAAGACTTGAGGAATGTGTATTTGCATTATATGTTTCCCCACCACAATAAAAACTACAGAGTTTTGATCATAAAACTATGCACATTTTACTTTTTGGCTACATAAATATTAGCAACTGCACCAAAGTATTGAGCATGAGCTCCATATTATACTATAGAGCCATAAATGTCTGGTGTATCAAATGTGAAAACCTGCTATGAGCAACACGAAACTAAAGGTTCAAAAATACTCTTCCATTTGACTGTTTCCCACAGTGATGCATTAAAATGAATCCCAAATGACTCATGCAAGCACACAATAATTCATAGGTCACAACACTTTGAACTGTCTAACATCTGTCACATCTGCACTAACAAAATCTATTACAAATATTTGTAGAAATGATCTGTAAAGCAATCATGTTAAAGGGATACTCCACCCCAAAATGAAAATTGTGTCATTAATCACTTACCCCCATGTCGTTCCAAACCCCTAAAAGCTTCGTTCGTCTTCGGAACACAATTTAAGATATTTTGGATGAAAACCGGGAGGCTTGTGACTGTCCGATTGACTGCCAAGTAAATTACACTGTCAAGGTCCAGAAAAGTATGAAAGACATCGTCAGAATAGTCCATCTGCCATCAGTGGTTCAACCGTAACGTTATGAAGCGACGAGAATACTTTTTGTACGCGAAGAAAACAAAAATAACGACTTTATTCAACAATTCATCTCCTCTGTGTCTCTCCGCATCACCATAGCGCTATTTTGGAGAATAACCACTGAACGCAAGCAACATACGCTATTCTGTGTCAGCCGCGGTGCACGGATGCGCTGTTTTCGTTCAAATCAAAGCGTAAATACAGAAGAGCGTACGCTGCTTGCGTTCAGTGGTTATTCTCCAAAATAGCGCTACGGTGATGCGGAGAGACACAGAGGAGACAAATTGTTGAATAAAGTCGTTATTTTTGTTTTTTTCGCATACAAAAAGTATTCTCGTAGCTTGATAACGTTACGGTTGAACCACTGATGGCAGATGGACTATTCTGACGATGCTTTTCATACTTTTCTGGACCTTGACAGTGCAATTTACTTGGCAGTCAATGGGACAGTCACAAGCCTCCCGGTTTTCATCCAAAATATCTTAAATTGTGTTCCGAAGACGAACGAAGCATTTACGGGTTTGGAACGACATGGGGGTAAGTGATTAATGACAAAATTTTCATTTTGGGGTGGAGTATCCCTTTAATTAAAAAAAAAGAAATACATTTTAAGACATTAAATGACTTTGAGTGCATGCACTCTAATTACCTGTCTCTTTCTTCTTCCAATTAAAGGAATGATTTGGGCTGAATGTAAAGAGATATGGTCTCAGGGTCCTCGGGAATATCTGCAAGAGCCATGGAATTTGCTGGACTTTGGAATGCTGGCCATTTTTGTGACTTCATTCATTGCTAGATTTATGGCGTTTTGGCATGCAAATGTTGCACAGAATTACGTCGACAAGCACTACACAGATCTATCAAACATTACCTTGCCCCTTGAGATAGAATACTATCGTCTTGGTGAGTAATGCTGTCAAAAAAAAAAAGAAAAAAAAGATGATTATGGTTTCTACATCATTACTTCAATGAAAAATTATTTTTGCAAAACTTTATTTTTGTGCAGTGTTTTAAATTATAGTTGAGGAAGATCATACATGGTACTTTCCTAAAATTTGTGGCACATGCAGCTTCTTTTTTGACCTTCTCATCATAAAAAAAAAAAATTAAAAATGATAAAAGAAATGATTATGATTTCTACTACATTAATTAAGAAATTACTTTTGTAAAACAATGTATGACACTTTGGATAAAATAATTTACCAAGTACATAAATGTAAATGTAACACATTTATTAATTATTTTATTTATTTACAAAATTATTTTTGTATTTCCCACTGATATATTATTCTACTCCGATATGACAATGATGTGGTAGTGAGTTCATCCCTGTTGGCTGATCAATCTAGTTGACCTAAAAACTGTACATGTAAAATATATTCGATTCTTCATTATTTGCATAGATTAACTGATTAAAATGCATGATACTGTATAGTAATGTGTAGTTCAGAGATATACATTATGTCAGTAAAGACAGACATAGCACTGTCAGTATTAAAGCAATAATTTTAGGAAAATAAAGATGTGAAAACTAAATGTGAAAACGTGAAAACTAAACTACAGACAAAGGATGTGAAAACTAAACTACAGAAAAATAATAAAGTTGGGAAAAAACAGGTAGAAAAAACACATGAAAACAAAATTATATAACGAAAGAATCTTTTTAGAAACTATATTTTCAGCTTTGAACATTTTTGATTACTAGAAGAAATTAACTTTAAAAGTTCAGTCCCTTTTGGAAAATGTCAACTTCAGTATTTCTGTCAATTAAATCCTTCTTCCTAGGACCCCTTTAGACTCTTGACGTTCCATGAGACATGCATTTGGTTTAGAGGTTAATGAAGTGCAAAACCAACACTGACAAGATTGGTTGACACCAATGACTTTTTTTTGTTTGTTGTTGAATACTTTCAGCTTGACCTTTTAGACAACATGCTCAACCTTAACAAGCTTCCTTTGTACACATTTCAGCTCGCGTCCACTGGGTTCCTTCAGACCCTCAGCTGATCTCTGAGGGCCTTTATGCCATCGCAGTGGTTCTGAGCTTCTCTCGGATTGCGTACATCCTACCGGCGAATGAGAGCTTTGGGCCCTTGCAGATCTCTCTGGGTAGGACTGTGAAAGACATATTTAAATTCATGGTGATCTTCATAATGGTGTTTGTGGCCTTCATGATGGGGATGTTTAACCTCTACTCGTACTATCGTGGAGCCAAGCAGAACGGCGCCTTCACAACGTAAGCAATGGTTAATTCACATCAATTCCTTTGATGATTGTTTGTCTTGTCCTTTGTAATTGCATCACATCCGTGTCTTTATTAGTTATATAATTACAAAAACGCTCAGAGCCTTTGGCAGCAATGCATAAGGACATACTGGAAGTAGGCGTTTGGCAAATTTGATTATCATGACTACCACACCATGACCATGTCCATGTGGACATGAGAGTGAATAAGTGTCCAGGACTCTTCATACTCTGTAAAAAGGCTCAGGGTAATATGAAATAGACAGTGCAATTCATTAAAGACCTTGTGAAATCAAAATTGGATGGTTGTGGCTTTTATGATGTCTAGCTTTGAGGTCATATATTGAGGTCCAACCCAATCTCATGAGAAAATTAAGTATTTTATGAGTTGGCGATTTTATATGAATTCATACAGTTTGTTTTGTATGAAAACGAATGATTTTATTTTATTTTTTTGAAGAAAACTAAGCATGAAGGTCCACCTCCAAAGCCTAAACCTAATCATCGGTCAGGGATGCATTTCCCAAAACCATCGTTAACTAACTATGGTCGTTAGTTCCATTGAACTCTATTGGTAACCACGGAACTTGTGACCATAGTTGCTTTTGGAAAACGCACCCCTGGTCGGTTGGATGTAAGCAGATTGTAAAATTCATAGAAATTCACCACCACTGTTGTTGCTTGATGGTATTTATTATCAGATTATTTTATTTTCATAATTATAAACACACTGGATTGTAGAGAAAATAGTTTTACCGTTTACTGAATAACTTATGTTATTCTTTGTTATTTTCCTAAGAGAAAGACTCTTAGACTGACCTTAAATGACCTTAAAGCCTACAAACAGACTAGAAAACACAAAGCAACATTTTGGGTAGCATTTTGTAATAAGGTCCCATTAGTTAACATTAGTTAATGTATTAACATAAACTAATAATGTGCAATTCATTTGTTACAGTATTTCTTAATCTTTGTTAATGTTAGTCAAGTATTAACAGATATCACTTTTGATTTTAATATGTATTAGTAAATATTAAAAATTAACATGAACTAAGATATATTTTTCATTATTCATGTTAGTTAACAAATGGCACCTTATTGTAGAGTGTTACCAAATTAAGTAATTTGACGTATTCATATAATAAAACATACTTTCATATATGTGTATGTATATGTGATAAATTAGGAATTCAAATATATTACATGACAACATAATTATCATTAAAATGATGAATGAAATGATATAACCCAAACTAAAGGAAGTTGCCTGTTTCCTCTTCTCCAGGGTTGAGGAAAGCTTTAAAACTTTATTTTGGGCTATTTTTGGACTTTCTGAGGTCAAGTCTGTTGTCATCAACAACGGCCACAAATTCATTGAGAATATTGGCTATGTACTTTACGGAGTCTACAACGTTACCATGGTTATCGTCTTACTCAACATGCTCATCGCCATGATCAACAACTCATTTCAGGAAATTGAGGTAATCATATTCTGAAAGGAGATCTGTGGATAGTAGGATGGTACAGGCCTGGGGCAAATGTCCAGACACCATCATTTCCCATTCATACTCCCTTTTAAATGAGATACAGATCCTTTATAGTACTGTTGCATTTGTTAAAATGCAATGGGAAGTCCTCTCTGGTTACAGTAGAAATTGATTTTTGTTGGTTTTATAAATGACAGCCTGTTTGTGTAAAAGCAACTTGGCCTTCACAATATATTACAGTAGCACCCAACAGTGAAATATGAATTGTTCATGCATTGGACGAAAAATACAACAAATATAGTTGCTGCTGCAAAGCAAGAATGTCATTATCAATCCATAAAAGATTTATTACACCAGAGAGGTCTGATGTGGTTACAGGAAACAGGAAGTTATTTTTGATGCTTTTTATTGCCATCTGGGGATCTCATTATTTGACCATTACTAATATGTCAACAGCATTTGGTTTCATCAGATGCTCATGCTACAAATTCAAATTCAGTGTCATTTAGTTCTTACGTACACTCTTAAAAATAAAGAATCTTCATTGGCATCTATGATTCCGTGAAGAATCTTTAACATTAATGGAACCTTTCCATTCCACAAAAAGGTTCTTTATTGTGGAAAAGGGTTATTCAAAAGATCTTTACACTAAGAAAAATGTTACTTTTAAGAACTGTTCCATGAAAGGTTATTTGGGGAACCCAAAATGGTTCTTTAATGACATTGCTGCAAAGCCCCACTTTTGTAACTTTTATTTTAAGAGTGTAAATAGGGATATATTTAGTATATTATTAGTATATTTCATTTGATGTTAAGAGTGTATATAGAGAAGACTGAGGCTAGCTGTCACATGAGGAAATTCTATAGCTCAGTAAAGATTCAAAATATGCACTTTCTCTAGCAGTAGCTTTATATATTTGGTTTCAGACATCTAGTTAAGTTAATTTTTTATGATTTCTGTCCTTCAAACGTAAATCCCAAAATTATAAAACTAAACTTATAAAATCTACATTTTACACTTCTTTAGGTAAAATGGTTTTCTTAAAAAGTGTATCTGTGCTACCTTTATGTTTATAAATGATACTTTGATGATAGACATTTTGGTTATTTAAAGCAACACTATTCATACATGTATTAGTGTGAAATAATAGTTGATGCCACTCTAAATGTACCTATATGGAAATTATTTAAAGGCATTTCCAGTGAAATGTCACTTGCCAGTACTTTGTGTATATCTTTGTAACAGGATGATGCAGATGTGGAGTGGAAGTTTGCCAGGGCTAAGCTGTGGTTTTCATACTTTGAAGAAGGAGGGACGCTGCCTGTGCCCTTTAATCTCATCCCCAGCCCAAAATCAGTCATCAGCCTGGCTATGAATCTCAAACAGCTCCTGCTAATACCTCTTCACAGACACAAAGAGGACCTGAAGGAGGACACGGAGCTCAATGAGGTGAGGTGGAGGAGAGACATTCTTAAATCAAAGAGAGAGAGTTTTCTCACAACATTGCTTTGCATTTTATTTATATAATGATGTGGGGTTCATTTTTATTGGTATTTGGTTCCCTCTTATGGCCAGATTGTGCAACAACATGAAGAGCTTTTGATTTATTGAAAGAACAAAATAGTTTGGGTTTGATATTCACAAAGAAATTATTTCTTTTTAGTCGGGTAAACAAAAAGAATCCAGTGAGAAGAGTTCACCTCATACAAGTCGTTACCAGGTAAAACACAACTCTGACAAGTCACCAATAGAATGCTGAGAATAAAGAAATCACAGAACGATATTAGAGACAAGAATTTAGATTTCCAACATAGTTTACTGACAGTGATCAGTAATGGCAGAGACTGACCAATCAGAAGAAGCTATTTTGGAAAGTATCTTTTAGGATCTGACAGAATCTTCGAAAATAAATTTGGTGCTATTTTTTCTCTCCACAGAGGATCATGAAACGGCTAATCAAACGATATGTGATCAAAGCGCAGACTGACAAAGAGGGAGATGAAGTCAATGAAGGTACAATGTTGTTCCAAACCAGACTTTGTGCTGTTAATTACATTTAGATCATTTTTGTGATATCCGTCCTCTAAACTAAACCTCCCTTTATTATAAAACGTATTTTATATATATATATATATATATATAAACGTATGTTTGTAAAATGGTTTGCTTTAAAACTGTTTTATATTTTTATTTATTGTTAGGTTTCATTTTTTATTTAAAATGTGGTCCACTGGAACTACTTTTCTAGGTGGACTTCTGGTTGTGTGTCAGTGATCCAGTTATGTAAGCATATCACTGATGATAGAAGGTCTTTATCAATCTCTGACGTGTCTTGTGTCTTACAGGGGAGCTAAAGGAGATAAAGCAGGATATTTCAAGTTTACGCTATGAGCTGCTGGAGGAGAAATCCCGTCAGACGGAGGAGCTAGCAGAACTGGTCAGGAGACTGGGAGAGAGAATAACCGGTCAACGAAACCTGTAGTTTTTCTCAATAGTAACAATCTTTTCATTATTCTCAGTGGTGATTCTCATTAATATTATAATACATAAATAATGCTTTTTCCATTTAAAATATCATCAAATAAGGGTAGTACACCTAATAATGACATATAAATACTTGGGAAAAAAAAAACATGACTATATATTTAATAGCATATCAGAACTGGGGTGCTAAATCCATGAAATTCACAATGCAAAACTTCTTAATCATACTAAAATAGGCTTCCTTTTCCTTTTTTTATTATTGTTTTTGGGGTGAAATATGACCAGGGGCCCGTTCTTCGTACGTCGCTAGCTCAGTTAGTTGGATTTGATTGTTGACGATTTGGCATGATCTTGGATTGTTTGGTTCTTCGAAGCTCATCCCGGAGTTGCTGTCATAGCAACAGGTCCGTAAGCTTAAACCTGCTCGGAAGCAGGCTTATTTCATGTAAACAGGATTAGATTGCATCTTCTTAAGCAGAATTGATACTTAAAATCTGTCCACTACCACCGCTACTTTATTACAAGAGTACCCTACTAATCCAGGGACAATAATTAAAAAATAATCCGTTCTTCATACGTCGCTAACTCCGTTAGCTGGATTTGATTGTTGACGATTTGGCATGATCTTGGATTGTTTGGTTCTTCGAAGCTCATCCTGGAGTTGCTGTCATAGCAACAGGTCCGTAAGCTTAAACCTGCTCGGGAGCAGGCTTATTTTATGTAAACAGGATTAGATTGCATCTTTTTAAGCAGAATTGATACTTAAAATCTGTCCCAGCCACCGTTACTTTATTACAAGAGTACCCTACTAATCCAGGGACAATAATTTAAAAATAATAATCATTTAAAAATGTATTTAAAGATAATATAATAATATTGTGTAGTCTTTAATACAACAGACACAGCCAGCTTTACTCACTGAAAGATTTATTCGTCATAAAATTATTACTTCATAATTGTATTCGAGTCTTACACACATGCTATACAGATAATATAGAGTCGTGCATTAATTTGAGTGCTGGCAGCTATTATGGGAGTGGCTTGAAGGAGCGCAGGAGATGCAGATAACATGATCTTGACCCTTAAGAAACTTTAATTAATGCTGTCACGTAACAAATCTTTTCAAATATAAAATTAAATGAATTGCTAATTGCTACATTGAAATAAAAATGTAAAGCCTGTACAAAAATTTGAAATCGTGAATATAAATAATTGAGAATCATGTAAAAAAAATTAATAAAATAAAAACACATTTCAGTTATCTATTATAACATTTACGTAGGCCTAGTTTTGTTCGCTTGGCTGTTTCCTTATAAAAGTTCAGAAATTGGTCAAGTTTTTCGTCAGGTGTCTTTTTTAATTATATGATGTCATTACGTTGCTGTCTTGCCGAGAGCCAATCGCTGCATTGCTGATCGTGGTTTCAAGTATCGTTACATAGCCCCTTTTAAACCAGCCCATGAACGCGCAATTATCTCAGATAACTCAATCCAGCCATACTAATTCAATAGATAACGCTTTTTAAAAATGACTATGTGACCTTACATGCTTGAGTCTCTATCGCTGTATATTTCCAACTATATAAACTAACTTAAGTTTCACTTGTGACTGCACTGATAAAGCAAGATCATTTCTTTTATTTGTCCTCTTTCATGAACAAGTACTTTTTTCATTTTAAATGCATTTCAATTCATCATATTCTTCAGTCTCGTAACCTTTAGCAAAACCTTTAACCTTTAACCAAGGCTCGTGATTGGCTGTTCGCCAGTGATGTCACACGCGCTCCACAAACTCAGGATCAAAGTCGGAGTTGACAAAGAAAGTTGATGATCAGCATCATGGTACCAACAAAGCTGGATTGGAGTGGTTTGGATTCGTCAACTCGAAACTAATCCTGTAACTCTGAATTTGTTCATCTACCATCATGGTACAGGCCCCTGGACCGGTCGGCTTTCAATAAAATGCATTTTCATGTGAACATAATGATATTGTTTTCTTGTTCATAATTCAAGGTAAATTGTGGGCTAACCTGCTCCGGGGCAGGTTATGTTCTGAGTTAGAGATCTCAAACTGAAATTGGACCAATCAGATGTGAACAAAGTGACACATGTCTGACACAAAAAAGTCACTCCCCCAGTTTAACTTGCTCCAAATTAAAGGTCACTAGTACTAAAAAAATGTCTGGCTTTAATGATAATTACTTAGAGTTATTTTATATGATTTAGATAATTATATGATTTATATTATTCCATTACACACAAGCAATTTTAGTTTAACAGTTATTATAAATCATTTATTTTCAATGAACGTTAATATATACAGATCGTATGTAATATAAATAAGCTGTAGAATCAATAGATAATGCTTTAAAAATGACTACGTGACCTTACATGTTCGAGTCTCTATCGCTGTATATAACAAGTTTCACTTGTGACTGCACTGATAAAGCAAGATCATTTCTTTTATTTGTCCTCTTTCATGAACAAGTACTTTTTTCATTTTAAATGCATTTCAATTCATCATATTCTTCAGTCTCGTAACCTTTAGCAAAACCTTTAACCTTTAACCAAGGCTCGTGATTGGCTGTTCGCCAGTGATGTCACACGCGCTCCACAAACTCAGGATCAAAGCCTGAGTTGACAAAGAAAGTTGATGATTAGCGTCATGGTACCAACAAAGCCAGATTGGAGTAGTTTGGTTTTGTCAACTCGAGACTAATCCTGTAACTCTGAATTTGTTCATCTACCATCATGGTACAGGCCCCAGGGGTCAGTTACATAAACACAGCCATGTAAGGCTGTGTCTTTATAACTAGCCTGGTCAACTAGCAGTTAGCCAAAGGATATTTATTCTAAAATTAGATTTAAGTTTTTATGCAGCCGACTTAGAAAGACGTAATTACCAGTCTTAAAGAATACAAATTTACTAGTCTGATCAGATTATTCAACTGGTCCCAGAACATGTTTTTAATAGGGAGACTCAGTTGTGAGAATTCCTCTATTGCATTACTCTTTACTCTTTCCTCAAAATTAAGTAATTTTTGTTTGTTTTTTAAGCAAAGTTTCCTCTGGAGAGCACTAATTCTGCAAAAAAAGAAGCTGAAATTAAATTAAGTAAAAATGCTAAAACATTTCTGAATTACTTTTTTTATGGAGAGTCACGTTTTTGGTACTGACAATGCTAATAATTCTGCTGTTAGCCATTGTGTTGCCATGCTGTGTCATAATCTAAATATGCTATGTTACAAAGGCAAAACACAGGAACTACACAGCACAGAGACAAATATTTAGTTTGATTGAATTTGATTTGATTTCATCATACTCGGTTTTCACTGAAGCTGTGCACCGGAGAGTCAAACCTATGTGACAGAACAGACCACAGTCTGGGAACTAATGTCACTGCACATGTGTAGTCACTGTGTTTTGCATGGTGTTATTGATGTTGTTGACTTTGGAAATCTATCATATTTGATCATGTTATGATTGTTGTTTAAGAGTCATGGTCCACCACAAATGTTTTATTAATTATAAATTATTCATTGTGTGAAGTCTGACAGTTAAAAAATGTCAGTCTTACTGCAGAGACAATGGTATATTTATAATAAAAAAAAACGTAAAAATAAATGTTTCTTTAATGGTGGTAAATTGTGCTTTCATTTCATTTGCCCTCTTTTGTACTTTTATGTTAACACATATGCACTGAACCCTAATAAATTCACTACGCTCTGTAATGAATTTGAATTGAATTTGAATTTGAGTAATGAAGTTACTGTAATGAATCTACTGAGATTCTCAGTAATCCCTCATTTTGGTAGTGTGGTTTATCATAATTCAGACACCAGATGTTATCAGACAATTTAGGTTGTTGAGAAAATAATCCCTGTTTCACTTATTAATTATAGGTCCCAAATCTATTAAAGGGGTCATATGATGCTTTTTTTAAAGATCATTATTTTGTGTATTTGGTGTAACAGAATATGTTGACATGCTTTAATGTTCAAAAAACACATTATTTTTCAAATATTGTACATTATTGTAGGTCCTATATGCCCCGCCTCTCTCAAACGCTTCGTTTTCTACAAAGCCCCCTCCTTTGACAAGCGCAGTCTGCTCTGATTGGCCAACTGACCCAGTGCATTGTGATTGGCCAATCAGAGCAGACTGCTCTGATTGGCCAGCTGACCCAATGCATTGTGATTGGCCGAACACCGCAAACACTCGTCGGGAAAACTTAAAATCGCATCATATGACCCCTTTAAGCACCGCAGTCACGGATTCCGTCACACACATTATCGAGAGTACCATGACAAAAAGTATTCTCGTAGCTTCGTAAAATTACGGTTGAACCACTGATGTCACATGGACTATTTTAACGATGTCCTTACTGGGCCTGGGAACATTTCAGTTGCATTATTGTCAATACAGGGTCAGAAAGCTCTCGGATTTCATCAATAATATCGTAATTTGTGTTCCAAAGATGAACAAAGGTCTTACATTTCCAAACTATTAAAGCGTGACTATCGGACAATCAAGCGGTTTGTTGTCAATAACAATCAGCGAGGTTACAAAAAATGTGAAGAAAAGTTGCAAATTACCAGCAAAAGATCTGCAAAGACTTGAGCGTGAGCGTGAAACCACCAGAACTTATTAGCCTCCAGTGCTACCATTTTCTACAACTGCAACTTCTCTGGAATCTCCAGAAGTTCAAGGTGTCAGGCTCTGCTTGTTACAGGGCGAATGAGACGTGAGACGTGCGAATCCATTTGCAAGCTTTAAGGACGTGGTCAAAACAGGCGAGGGTCAGGCAATGGCAAACAGGTATATAGAAGACAAAACAAGAGCAGTCCAGTAAACAAGCGAGGGCCAGTCGACGGCGAACGTAATCCAACAGGGCGAGACTAGAGGAATAATCCAGGTACAAGGCAAAGGTCAGAACATGAAGAAACACAGACAAGGCAAGACTAAGCTAAGACTAGGAAACGTCAAGCAGGCTCCGTAA